ATTCTTGCATCAATATACAAAGGGATTTTTCGAAACCCAGCTTACCTTTATGTTTGAGACATTTGCATTTGTAGAGTAATACTAACAATATTTTAGATTAATAAAAAAACTAAAAGAGAAGGAATAAGATTGTGGCGAAGACTCCATTCCGTATAAAAGTGCAAGATGAATAGATTCGTAGGTATATCTCACCAGAAGATGACGGCTGATTTCAGTTATACTGCAATAGACGTTTAGATCGATGCAGTCCAGGAGACAGTCTTCAACTTTTAGGGCGAAGATGAATTGAGCTTTCGCTATTCATATGAGTAAAGCAATCGGCTGCAACACAACGAAAATCAGCCGCTGTTTTCTGGTAAAATATACTTACTTTAATACGAAATAAAAGTTTTTAAACAATGTTATTTCATGAGATTCTTCAAAACCAGCATTTTCTTCGTATATAGAACTAACTTTTTATAATCAGTGTAGAGAACCAGTCTAGTTCCCGGAGCAAGAGCAATTTCTCCGGCTGCTGTGGAATCAGTCTCGAGGATATTGCCTCCAGTAGAAGCAGCACTGCCGTGGATCGGAGCAGTGGTGACAGTAAGAGGCAGACCCATCGCTAAAATTTCTTTTCCTTGTTCATCTTGGCCTGTTGATTCAGATGTATCCTCAAAAAACTGTCGGAGTAAGAAATTATAAAAGAAAAGTGAATTAAAGATCACAGATTATATTCATCAATGAAAAGATTACAATAAGGCATTTGGAAAACCTTGTGATTTTAAAATCTTTGATGTGAAGACTACCTATGAAGTATATGAGATGTAATTTTATGTTAGACAGCACATCACAATAAGTATGCCAACAAGGATGTTGAAGAAACTTGTAAGGAAATATTCGGTCCAAGTTTAAATACAGAAAGAACATTTAGCTATAACAAGAATAAACAGAAATAATTTGATATTTGAAAGTCCCTAGTTAAGCATGAATATTTTGGAAAAACGGTATAAATAAAAAATTATTCGGGCCAACTTTAGGTCGGTTCGGTGATTTAAGGACTGATAACTGAATTTTTCCACAACGAAATAAGTAAGCTTCAGGATGCAATTGAATTGCATTTAGTTTTGCCTTTCAAAGTTTTTGAAATCCAGGATGGTCTGTCAATTCGAACTCGCTTAGGCTTCATAAGCACTCGAAATGGGATTCTAAACCGGATAAAGCGCGTAATAGCGAAATGTTACCACGCTGCCACAAAAGCACGGCTGTCAGTGGATACCAGGGCAGATTTGATTTTAAGACCAAGCCAATCCTTTCCCAAAACGAAACAGCAGTCCATTCTGGACAATAAAAATTTTGAGAGAAAATACTAGGTGAAATTCAGCGGCGTCATACTTATTTAATTGTGACAAAAGCAAATTAATCGAAGGTATG